CAATATAGTCACTAAGATATGAAAACAATCTTAGAGTAGGAATTATAATACAAACTTATAATATAAAAATACAAATTGAAATGTACTTGCAATTGCACTAGTCTGGTATAGGTTGTTGACAAGATCAGGAGTATAACTAGATTTAAAATTGACAAAATATAATCACAATTAAAGTACCAAAGAATAATAGTAAAAAAATAACAAGGGTAATGTCTTGGTTATAATATGATAGTAAGATGGTAGACAGGTACACAGGTACAAAGGATAATATAAAGTTGGAGTTGAAATATACAAACTTGAAAATTTGGCAACAAAATGTTATGGAAGTATAAAATAATGTTTAATGTACAAAAGTAAAATTGACTGGTAGTAAATATGGTGTTTTAATAATAAAATTTTAGTAAGTAATAATGATTACAAAAAAGTGAAAAAGTAATGTTTATTTCATTCAATATCGCACTGGTAGTTATACTAGAGGTATATGGCAGCACAAGGTAATTAAGAGTACTCTAAGATAGTAAATGTGGTATTAAAACAGGTAAAGGTAATTAGACAAGTAATGGTTATTAAATGTCAAAAATGTTAAGAGTAAATTGAAATTATAGTAAAAATGATAATTATTAATTTTAGTAAGTAATATCAATTGATAGTATTTAAAAAATATGAGGTAATAATATGGACAGAGAAAGTATCAATTCAGCTAATGTTTAAGCAAACAATAGTAAATAAGAAAATTACATAAGGTGACTTATGCTTACTAGTAAAATCACAAAATGAGGTAGTTGATTATTTAATTACTAAGAGCTTTTACAATGAAATTTGAACAATAATGGAGCAAAACATTCACTACACTACGTAGGCTTTTAGGTTGGACATTGTTTAGTTATTCTCTGTAAGATTAGTATCCCTGAGAAATCGTGATAGATCATTCTCGTTCGTTATTGTTGTACAGTTGACCTACATTTGTTTTCCTAACAAGAATTTTCCCATCTCGTGTGAAGCATTGGTGTATTGTGTCATTATTCTCCCGCTTAAGTTTTCTGACTCTATAAAGGAGGTTCTGACGTTTTTTGTTAAGACATTCGTTTATGTATACCTTTCTTTACTTTAATAGATGCAATAATTAAGTCTTTTTCCTGTCATGTGAGTGGAATCTAAGCAAAACACTTTTTCTACCATGGGATCCTAGTAACCTGGCTTCTTTTATTTCTGACTCTGGTAAAATAACACTTGTTTGGTCCTTTATGATCTGCAGAGTAATTTCTTTACTGTTTGGTTCATATCACTGGGAAAAAGTGGACTGTTAACTATTACTGCGTCCGATAGTTTATCTTGTTCAGTTTTATCTTCTTGAGAGGCAAAGTAGTCACTGAACTGGTTATCTAAGTTGTTCTTCCATTCTTTTACTGCTTCTTCAACCTTTGTATTAAGAGATATTATTTGTTGGGTATGGCTATCTATGACTGCTTGGATGGTCTTGTCACAGTTAGTCATTCCTGTGTTGATAACTTTTGTTCAAGACTGAGGATTTTGTTCTCGAGTTGTGTCATCCTGGTGTCTTGTTTTGTTAGCGTCTCTCGAAGATTCATATTTTCAATAACTAAGTTGGAGATGTATGTTTTTAGGGTATCTGGATCGTTGGTCATACCTGAGAGACTACTTGGTAGGTTGAATCCGGGGAAGAGAGGAGGATGGGCTGTGGCAGCCATGTTTGTTGTTATTGTTGTGGTGTCGCCTTGAGCGGTGGTGAGTGGGGTGGTTGCTGGGCCGGCGTCCTCCTGACTACACTTGTTGAATAGTTGATTTTTCGGTGTTTTCTTTGCTGGCCTTGGTGCTGTTTCCTCTTAGATTGCGCCTCATAATACTACAGGAATTGTTGTAGTTATACAAAGCTTAGGGTTACGTTGTTCGGCTGGCAGCGGGGTGTTTCTTTTTTCGTTTGTGGGCAGTCTTCCTTTGATCTCTATTATTTTCGATTTGTAGGTTTCACTGTTGGTAATCTTTGGTCATTCTGGGTGCTACGTTGGGTAGTGCAGTTTTGCTTGTAACTAGGTCATCATAGGAGCATTGGTAGCTCTGATTGTTGGAGAAAAGTTCGGAGCTTGGAAGTCGCTGCTGCCGTTGCCGCTGTAGGGTGTATTTATCATCTTTTTATGTTATGTATCGTGTTTATTATATAATTTTGAAAAAAATATCATGGATGGACTAATGAAAATGTGTATATTAACGTAATATACAACATTTAATGAGACTCGGTGATTATTATTATTATATTATCATTTCTAATATGACGTCACTTGTGCAAGTCGTCTGCTACCACATCTCATATTTATGTTTAATTTATTCTATTGTGGGGTGTATTTATCATCTTTTTATGTTATGTATCGTGTTTATTATATAATTTTGAAAAAATATCATAGATGGATTAATGAAAATGTGTATTTAACGTAATATACGACATTTAAATGAGACTCGATGATTATTATTATCATTACTAATATGACGTCTGGAGACATAAGACACTCTTACTGATTTTAATGTGTACCTGCATGCCAGCACAGTATGTAAGTTTATTTAAGTACAGGTATACATAAGTATAATTATCAGAGTATATATAAAATATGAAATAACTTTTAAAAACATTTGAAATTTTGGAGTTTCCAGACAAAATGGAGAGACTTAGTGCTTACTAAGCTCACGAAGAATGTAAACAAACAGGGTGGGGCGCGGTGACCGCATTAGAAAGTCAGGTGGGGGGAGCCGTATAGCGAGTTTTGGTCATAATTTGAAATGACCGTATTAGCGGAACACCGTAAAGTGAAACGCCGTAAAGCGGGGCCCTCCTGTATACAGGAAGGCCCCACTTATATGGCGGGTTAGGTTCCAGGCTACCGCCGTAAAGCGGAAATCGCCGTAAAGTGGAACACCCTTTTTTTCCACTTATAAATGCATACAAACACTAGATAACAAGTTTACACTAACATATATAAAGTTAGCAATAGAACCAGGCATCAAAAACAATAAAAAGGTACAATACACACATAGTGCACTCATTACTTACCTTAAAATATTTATAGTCTTAATCTAGGGTGAGACAAGTAGTATTTATTGTAAGAAATCAAGTGTGGTATGTATTGTAATAGCCAGCCTACCTTACAGGCCACCCCACCCACACATACTATTCTATGAATTTAAGCATCCCAGAGCGATAAAATGTATATACAGTTCACTTCATTACTTACCTTAAAATATTTGTAGTCTTAATGTAGGGTCAGGAGTAAGTAAATGAGATAAAACGAATAAATGAGAGAGAGAAAGAATGAGTACATGAGGTAACAGAAGCTGAGTTATGTAAACAAACCAGGCTCCCACATCTTATATTTATGTTTATTTATTCTATTGTGGGTGTATTTATCATCTTTTTATGTTATGTAATCGTTTTTATTATATAATTTTGAAAAAAATATCATGGCTGGATTAATGAAAATGTGTATATTACCGTAATATACGACATTTAATGAGACTCCGTGACTATTGTTATTATCACCACTTGTGGAAGTCGTCTGCTACCACAGCTCACATTTATGTTTATTTATTCTACTGTGGTGGTGTATTTATCTTATTTATATGTTATGCATCGTGTTTTATTATATAATTTTGAAAAAAATATCATGGATGGATTAATGAAAATGTGTATATTACCGTAATATACACATTTAATGAGACTCCGTGACTATTGTTATTATGGCGTCACTTGTGGAAGTCGTCTGCTCACATCTCACATTTATGTTTATTTATTCTACTGTGGGGTGTATTTATCTTATTTATATGTTATGCATCGTGTTTATTATATAATTTTGACAAAAATATCATGGCTGGATTAATGAAAATGTGTATATTACCGTAATATACGACATTTAATGAGACTCCGTGAGTATTGTTATTATGGCGTCACTTGTGGAAGTCGTCTGCTCACATCTCACATTTATGTTTATTTATTCTACTGTGGGGTGTATTTATCTTATTTATATGTTATGCATCGTGTTTATTATATAATTTTGAAAAAAATATCATGGCTGGATTAATGAAAATGTGTATATTACCGTAATATACGACATTTAATGAGACTCGGCGAGTATTGTTATTATGGCTTCACTTGTGGAAGTCGTCTGCTCACATCTCACATTTATGTTTATTTATTCTACTGTGGGGTGTATTTATCTTATTTATATGTTATGCATCGTGTTTATTATATAAATTTTGAAAAAAATATCATGGATGGATTAATGAAAATGTGTATATTAACGTAATATACGACATTTAAATGACTCGATGTATGTAAGTTTATTTAGGTACAGGTATACATAAGTATAATTATCAGAGTATATATAAAATATGAAATAACTTTTAAAAACATTTGAAATTTTGGAGTTTCCAGACAAAATGGAGAGACTTAGTGCTTACTGAGCTCATGGAGAATGTAAACAAACAGGGTGGGGCACGGTGACCGTATTAGAAAGTCAGGTGGGGGGAGCCGTATAGTGAGTTTTGGTCATAATTTGAAATGTCCGTATTAGCGGAACGCCGTAAAGCGGGGCCTTCCTGTATAGCAAACATTTTGCAAAAATATTTTCCCAGGTATAACATGAGAAAGGCTGTACTTCATAATAAATCTGTCTGTAAAATTAATTTTCTACCATATACATATTCCTCTGGTAAACAGTATCCTTCCCAGTCTTTGTGGTTTTCCATACAGGAATTTGTTTTTCTTTGTTTTCCTGGGAAGACTACATGGCATCTTTATTATTATATTACTTGTGCTCTCTTTGGGTCTGAATCCAAACTAGCACAGATTTTACCACTGATGTAGTGAGTGCAGTTTCATATGGAAAAGGACACCCTTGTGTATTTTTCTCAAATACATTGCTGGTTATTGTACATATGTATATACAGTAACCAGTATAGCACATATAACAAGAGGCCATTCTTAGCATTATTACCTGACAAATGTATTCCCTCTGCAAGGGTGTATGGAGCATAGATGAAGATGATGATAATGCAGAGTTCCAGGGAGGTGTACTCCCTGAGAGGAACATACTTGAGGGTGAGAGTACTCAGCAGAGCAAAGGCAACACCAATACCTGCTGAGGCAAAGAACATGACACAGAACCTCCACACAGTGTACAACACTGCTTCTCCAGATCCCATGGCTGCCATAGTTGGTGAGGCCATTTCAATGATGGTACTGAAATTGAAAAAAAAATTATCGCTCTTCTATTCTGTGTACAACTCTTATGATGTAAAATTTGTGAAAACACATTTTCTCTAAAATTGGCCAGATGAATTAGGCTCACCCATCAGAAAAAATTAAGTGGGGTTCACCTATGGTCAGTGGTGGAGATACAGTGCTTTTTGAATTTCTAAATAAGCGTTTTATTACTCTTGTTATTGCAAGACAATTTTTTGGATTCTTACCTATGTTACTAAAACACCCACTTACATGATATTTAATACTGTATAGTATATATGGTAATGAAAATTTGTTCATTACATACAATATGCACAAAGATATACGTATAAATACACTGGGAATATGTCAAATATATACAAAATTTTGAAGCAGGTATGAAAAATGCATTTCTATATTACGTTTGATGAACCACTCAGAATTACAACATCCCAGAACTGTCTCTTCCTACTAATTTTTATGTACTTACTTGCCACTTGAACATCAGTATTTCTCCCACCATCCATTTTCTTTGGGTTTAGTTCTATTTTTGATAACCAGGTACTAAAGGCTGGCATTCACCAAAGAAAAAAACATAGGAAGGTAGCAGTCACTTGTAATTCATCAAAATCTAGGCAGAAAGCTGCCTTTCATACTTCAAAAATTCTTTTATTCTGAGTTTGGGTTCTGAAGAACCACTGGGAATCCTACCCAAAATACAGTACCTTAGCACTGAAACAGTAAACTGCATAACCAGGTAGCAAAGCATTTCAGAATTCAATTTGGAGGCAATAGCACAATGCTGACAACTAGTGAAAGAGCCCAGTGTTGAGTGAAATGTTTACAAATAAAGGTCTCTTCTGCATATATCTCTTTTCATCATCAACCGAACTGCTTGCGAGGGTGTCCGGTGTGGGTGTGTAAACAAAGGATCTCTTGCTGCAGACCCTGAATGAAGTCCTAAATTCATAACTAGTGGCTGGTCAAGGTCAATGTCCTGTCTAGCAGAAAGATTTTATTCACTGCATGCAAATAAGAGTGGAAGAGAATTATTTAACCTGGACTTGAGGATGAAATGGTACAGCTGGAAGGCTTCTGTATGATGAAAATAATGTCAATAGTAATCTATTTGAGGGAGTCAGCCTTAGGAAAAATGCAACATCACCTTGCAGGTGGAAAAGTGAAGAAGAACATCCTAAGTTGGAGTATATCAAATAAGATATCAAAAGCTCAATAGGCTGGGTGCTGCTAGGATGTAGATGCCAGGTTATCCATCTTTCCCTTATCCTGCATACCACCAATCCAATATATTCCCAACCCTGGATAAGGTACCAAGGAAGATTTATCAGTGTACAATGGTATCAATGGCTCATAACGGAAGAAGTACATATATTGGTATATGTGTATAACATAATAATAGAGAATCCCTGCATAGCTAGACAAGAGGACACGCATAACCTAAGTTATAGAAGGTTGGGAACTGAACTAGATTTGTTTCCAACTTCCAAATCAGAAGGGTAAAAAACCAGAGGGATAATTTTCACAGATTGACAACACTAACAGACAGTTCCTGGGCCAACAAGTATTAGAACAGCAGTATATCTGCTAAAGCTGTAATTATATACATGTAATAATGCTTACTAGTGATGGTGATAAGGAAGATACAGGAGTAAAAGTCTTTAAAATAAATGATTAAATTAAGAAAGTGGATAATTCTTAGGCATAGGTTGGTAGACAGCAACCATCCCAGGAGGACTACCGTCCTGCCAAGTGAGTGTAAAACGAAAGCCTATAATTGTTTTACGTGATAGTAGGATTGCTGGTGTCTTTTTTCTGTCTCATAAGCATGCAAGATTTCAGGTATATCTTGCTACTTCTACTTACCTATAGGTCACACTACACATGCATGTACAAGCATATACGTACAGCCTTTCCTCACTTAACGACACAGTTCCATTCCTGAGACCACGTCGTTAAAATGAATTCGTCGCTAAGTGAGGAGCATACTATAATGGTAGTGCATTTGTGTCAACCATCTTTGATATTGGTGAGGGGCATTGATTTAGGGAATTGGATCTGTGCTCCAGTTCCCCGAGTTAAGCCTGAATGCCTTCCACATCCCTCCCCCAGGCGCTGTATAATCCTACGGGTTTAGCGCTTCCCCCTTGATTATAAAAAATAATAATAATTTGATATTGTTTTAATGTTACCTTTGCACTATTTATAACATTTCTGGTTATTTTTAAATGTTTATACAGTAGTATACTGTTATAGTGAAATAAACAGAATAGAGGAAATCAGCTCTAATATACATTATTTAGGAATGAACACTGGTCAGAGAGGCCCTCGTAAGTCCGAGCGTTGGTAAATGATAGTATATCGCCAAGTGAGGAGAGGCTGTATATACACGCCCCTCTCGGTTTTCTTCTATTTTCTTTCTAGTTTTTGTTTGTTTCCTCTTATCTCCATGGGGAAGCGAAATAGAATTCTTCCTCCGTAAGCCATGCGTGTCATAAGAAGTGACTAAAATGCCGGGAGCAAGGGGCTAGTAACCCCTTCTACTGTATACATTACTAAATGTAAAAGGAGAAACTTTAGTTTTTCCTTTTGGGCCACCCCGCCTCGGTGGGATACAGTCGGTGTGTTGAAAGAATAAAGAAGTGGTTAATTCAAAGGGTGGAAAAGGACTTGTGCAGATAAATTAGGTCAAGTAGAAAAAATAGAGCAAGAGAGGATGATACAGTACCACTTCTCTGAAAATGTGGTGGGGATGTTATAAACTATAATGTCTGTGTTGCTTTAGTAAGCCAGTAATGAGTGACAGACAATGAATGTGTTTTATCCTTTGGAAAACTGTCTTACTGGAAAGCTGCTATTAATTTCCTTATGGATGATGAAGATAATTCACCTGGTGAGAACAATGGAGACAGCATCATTGAGGATACTTTCTCCAAACACCAGCATGTAGAGCACCTGGTCCACATTTAAGGCATGGAAGATAGCTAATGTTGCCACAGGATCCACAGCAGATATAAGAGAGCCAAATGCAAAGCTCTCTACAAAACTCAGTTGTATACTACATCAGCCTGAAAGTACAACAATGATATTCTTCTCTGCTCAGCTTTTGTATAGTGTTATTAAGTAGAAAGCAATAAGCAACAGGTAACAGATATGTTTCAGATGTAAATGATACAAGCAAATTTAAAAAGATTTTTTCATCACAGCCATCTCCCACCAAAGTAGGGTGACCAAAAAAAAAAAAAATAGGAAACATTCACCAACATTCATTCAAAGACTGTTTTTTTCGTTTTTTTTTCAGAAGTGCACAAGCATCATAATTCAAATAACTCTCCAAACCATAACATCTCCACCCCTCCTAGAGAGTGTAGGCATTTCACTTTCCACCTGCAAACCAAAGTTCAGCTAACCGGTTTTCCCTGAAACATTTCATGTTATTTTGCTAAGTCCAACAGCACATCAAATTCTTAAAACAAACTTGTCTCCATTCACCCCTCAATCTAATAAGCTCTCGCATTCCTGCTAGATGCTCAAACCCCTACCACTTAAAACCTTCACCCCCATCCAGTCCTCTTTGAGAGGACCCCTATCCATCCTTCCAACTTGAATTTATACACCCTTTTGGCCATCCTATTGTGCTCCATCCTCTCTAAGTGCACAAACCACCTCAACCTGAAACTTTGGAAAGTTTTGAAACATAATTGAGAGAGAGACTGAGCTCACGGAAGATGTAAAGAAACAAGAGTGGCTTGTGGCCCCAACCGTAAAAGCAAATCTGGAGCCAAAAACAAAACTGGGGGATAATTTTTTTACCACACATTTTTTCCCTAATTTCTATTTTCCCAAAATTTCCCTTTCAAAAATTATTCACCACACATGGCTTTAAAACATTTTCCAGTGTTTAAAAGCTTCCTCATCACTGCAACATTTAAAAAACCCATGGCCTTCCCCCCCCATTAAAAAAAAAACGGGTACCCCCATTCGCTGATAGCCCCTCTTTGGGTTTTAAAAGGAAAATTTTTTATCCCCCCAAAAATTCCCCCAAAACATTCCACTTCCCTTTTTTCCCCCACCCCCTTTAATTGAACGATTCACCTTTTTTTTCCCACAACCTTTCTGCCGTACAATTCCACTTTTTTCAAAAAACCCGAATATACCCCCTCCATACCCCAAACCATCCAATCAAACCAAAAATCTTTCACTGATTTTTGACTTTTTGGTTTACTCTTTCACCCTTTTTTTTTGTCTAGTTCATTTTAAACATTTCCTTCTATTACCCCTCAAACCCAAAATTCCCTCCTTTAAATTTTGCAACTTCTCTTCAGACTCTCCGAAAAGAAGTGCCCTCAGCAAAGAGAAACCTGTGAAAATTTCCCATTTTGTTTTAAATTTTTTTTTTTTAAATTTCCAACAGTTGTCTCCAGCCAAGATGGGCGACACAAAGAAAGAAGCAGTTTCCCCCTATTTTTTTAATCCCACACCTCTTCCCAAAAATTCTAGCACCCCAATTTTTTTTTGGCATCATAAATCTATAAGTTCGGGTATTTAAAAACCACAGGGGACATCACACAACCCAACAAATTTTACAGGGAAAAATTTTCCCCCTTTTCTTTTAAACCCTAATCTGGGGCTTCCTCTCCTGACAAAAAACCCGTTATTTATTTTAAAAACTTTTTATCAATCTAATATATTTTTCCCAAAATCTGCCCTTTTTGTTTTTTCCCATCCACCCCTGTCAAATTTCGTTTTTAATTTTGTTTAAAAGCAAAAAAAAAAGGTTACCCCCAAAAACAAAACCATTCACTTAATAAGTACTTTTTAATTGAACCATTTGTCCAAAAACATCTCCCACCCCTTTCCATATCTTTTTTCCTCTGCAAATTTTAACCTTTTGTTTTTACCCTTAAATTTAAATTTAGATAATTCTAACTTGCACTTTAAACCCCAAAAAAACTCAACAGAATTTTTTTCCCCAAGTTCTTGCAAAGCAATTTTTGTCC